CCCCCCCCCCCCCCCATTTTATGGCGTTGGCATACAAATTATTTTATACAGCAACATAAAAATATTCAATTTTTATATATCATTCAAATTTGATTTATTTCCCAAATATGAAAAACATATCATGCAACATTAAAGTAATACTTTATCAAGCAAAGTGAATAATATTACATGTAATTATTTCATGAATTTCCAATTAAACTTATTTATTACATTTTTGCAAGTGAAATATTGTAATCTATCAACTTGATAAAACTGATATCTGTCACACTGTGACAAATATCAAAAGTGATATTTTCACAGTGTGAAAATAACATCTTTTGATATTGACCAATCATAACGGTATCTTCTATTCGCTGCATTCAAAGGCAACGTTTTTTTGATCAGATGCAAATGAAGCGACGGTAGAATAAGTGTTGGTATGGTAAATGTTTGGTACACACACTTAAGTATTTACATAAATATACAATTTATAACATTTTTATAAGCAATAATACCAGAAAACAGCAACAAACGTCGGAATTGCGTTGAGTATCCCATTCAAAATGGCGCACAGCCTTGTTGTCAAGTGTGACGTCATTAGGATATGGCGCTAATTATTACACTCCTGATTCCCGCCCTTTTTAATGCATTACCTTTTTTCATGTTTGATGCTTAAAAAATGTAAAAAATAGAAAATTTAATGGTGTCTTTCGTAATAACAAATATATTTCACTCGTATGGCTAATATTTTGATATTTTACACCCGTGTGGCGCACTCGTATAAAATATCAAAAAATATTAGCCACTCTCGTGAAATATCTTTGTTATTACTGACGACACCATAAAATATCCTCTATTTCTTCAAAGATGACCACTACATGTTCTTGTCCTTAGTTTACACAGTGGTAATTGAAAATGCTGTTTTTATGGTCTTTTATATTTATTTTATCAAATCAATTATTAAATTTAATCATCAACATACTTATCCTTTTAATATAAGCAAACTTTAAATGAATCATGTTTACCTCACTGTAAAATACTAAAATATAAAAATCAACATAAAAATCCCATTGGTATTGTGACTAAATATGCAATGAATTAATCTTTCAGTAAAGTCAATATAGAAATTTAATGAGACATTTTTTTCTCATTTCTTCACAAAAAATTGAAAATCTTTTTGTAAACTGATAAAACATGCATGATATGTATTTAAAAAATCAAGCAATCAATATAATCGTTTAATAAAGTATGTTTTTTCTTTCCTAATTTTTTAAACACACTTTTAATGAGAAAAAATTACGTGTGTATAATTGCATGTAATTACACCTAAACCTATAAAAACAAAAGAAAGGTGTGGATTTCACAGGTAGGTAATGAATGCTTGGATAAACACACCTGGGACTAGTAAGGCTTCACTAATAATTCCTCTCAGACAGCTATTTGTTCTACTGATATCTTTTAACAATACCAAAGGGATTAACTTATAATTGGTCAAGTGGCTTCTCCTTTGTGCTCTCAGATATTAATAATAACAATTTAATTAGGACCCTTTGATCTACCCCTCCGAATGTAAATGTCCTCAGAGACACAGATATGGAGGAGTTCAGAGTTGCTCAAAGTTACTCAAATTAAAATAAAACCATGATAAAACCAAGGGGATTTACTGTGGCTATTACAATCCCTCTGATATCCAAACGAAGAAACTACCTATTCCAAACTCCAAGCACCTGACTTATAGTGATCATGGACCACAAGGAAATTGCTGGCCTGGCCCTAGAACTGCAGACACTTCTAATTGCCCATGATAAGGCATTCACACAAATCCAGCTCATAGGTAGGTAATTACTAGACTTGGTACCTTATAAATAATGTAATCTAATAAAATGGTCAATCATGGGTCTTGTCTTTAAAATCAAGTAAAAAGAGGTCTTCACAACAAGCAAACATATTTCGTACACTTTATCTCTTCTATCCAAAGCAAGATACATCATTTTATATACACATATGTGTGGAATATCGATTACAAAATTCTAAGATGTTTATTGTTTTTATTTCCAGACAGCAAGCTCAGCACCCTTACTGCTAAGATATTTTCTGCCCATGTAGAGGGCCACCAAGGTCTCAGACTACACCTCCTCAGTAGGAAGTCTGTAGTGGAGGGTGTGAGACAGGCCTTCCATCAGTACCGTGTCATTAAGTGGAACCAGATCCGTGAGTTATCTAACCTGATCCTTGATACCTTTGCTATAGACAGCAGCGCCTTGCCCCTCCCTCCACAGCCTGACCACGTCCATCAGCAGATCGAGGAGGATGATCTAGCTACCACGCTGACCTTAGCTTACTCTGTCTGTTCTAGGACCTGGTGATATAGTTTGAGGACTTGTTGATCTAGCTCCAGGACTTGGTAATCTAGCTTGAGGACTTGGTGATCTAGCTTGAGGACTTGGTGATCTAGCTTGAGGACTTGATGATCTAGCTTGAGGACTTGGTAATCTAGCTTGAGGACTTGGTAATCTAGCTTGAGGACTTGTTAATCTAGCTTGAGGACTTGGTAATCTAGCTTGAGAACTTGTTAATCTAGCTTGAGGACTTGTTAATCTAGCTAGAGGACTTGGTAATCTAGCTTGAGGACTTGATGATCTAGCTTGAGGACTTGGTGATCTAGCTCCAGGACTTGGTAATCTAGCTCCAGGACTTGGTGATCTAGCTTGAGGACTTGTTGATCTAGCTGGAGGACTTGTTGATCTAGCTCCAGGACTTGGTGATCTATCTAGCTTGAGGACTTGGTGATCTAGCTCCAGGACTTGTTGATCTATCTAGCTTGAGGACTTGTTGATCTAGCTCCAGGTCTTGTTTATCTAGCTTGAGGACTTGGTAATCTAGCTTGAGGACTTGGTGAACTAGCTTGAGGACTTGTTGATCTAGCTTGAGGACGTGGTAATCTAGCTTGAGGACTTGTTGATCTAGCTGGAGGACTTGTTGATCTAGCTCCAGGACTTGGTAATCTAGCTTGAGGACTTGGTGAACTAGCTTGAGGACTTGTTGATCTAGCTTGAGGGCTTGTTTATCTAGCTCCAGGTCTTGTTGATCTAGCTTGAGGACTTGGTAATCTAGCTTGAGAGCTTGGTGATCTAGCTTGAGGACTTGTTGATCTAGCTGGAGGACTTGTTGATCTAGCTCCAGGACTTGTTGATCTAGCTTGAGGACTTGTTGATCTATCTAGCTTGAGGACTTGGTGATCTAGCTTGAGGACTTGGTGATCTAGCTTGAGGACTTGGTGATCTAGCTTGAGGACTTGGTAATCTAGCTTGATGACTTGGTGATCTAGCTTGAGGACTTGGTGATCTAGCTTGAGGACTTGGTGATCTAGCTTGAGGACTTGGTGATCTAGCATGTGGACTTGGTGATCTAGCTTGAGGACTTGGTGATCTAGCTTGAGGACTTGGTGTTCTAGCTTGAGGACTTGGTGATCTAGCTTGAGGACTTGGGTGTTCTAGCTTGAGGACTTGGTAATGTAGTTCTATAGGACTTTTAGTGTGAACTTGAATAATGACTTGTCCTATCTGATGGTGACTTTCTGAAACAATACTGACTTGTCTTATCTGACAGTGTCTTTCTGAAACAGTGATATTGACTATGATAAAACATCTGTATGCAGATTTCACGTCATGTTTTCAAGAGATTGAAAATGACTTTGAACTCTACACTATGTATTCGCTGTATCCCCTGCTGTATACTTAGACTAGTGCTGTATACCAAAACATTAGTGTCAAACATTTTCTGTACTATACTTGCTATTGGATTTGATCATGTTATTAAATATATAAAAATATATTCTATTTGTTAATTTGTTTTTTCAATTAAATGTGAATGTTTAGATATTATACAATTCAGCTACTGACACAATATGTCTGAACAAATTCAAAGTACTGGTATTCTTAATCCATCATAAAAAAGTATACCTTCATATTATTTTCATCTGGTAGGAAAATGACATAGAATCACTGAGATTATCTCATGAATTGAATGTGACCGTATAATGCCAAGCCAAATGCTCTAAATAAACAATTAATCACTGAGAATGTTTTTTTTTTATCACACCTAAATTGGATGAATATTTTCTGGATCTGAGGAAATTTATTAACTGCAGCAGAATAATTATGCATTCCGTATAAATTGAGATCCCTAAATTTTGTAACCCATTGGCAGTCTAATTATAATTTTAAAAAATCAAATAAATGATAGATGCACTATCTTTTCCTAAATAAAGATTGAGATCAATGTTGATTGGACACTGACTAGTAAACACAGATATATGATCACTTACTACAAAACAATGATGATTCAACATTGATCATTAAACAGCAGTGTTGTCTGTATGTGTTGCCTTCAACTACCAGTATGTCATATATCGGTAAAAAAAATTACTATGATTTGTGACCTCCTGGTGGTACTGACACAGCACATCAACATGCAATAGGTTCTTGTATATGCTATACACTCTGTCTAAACCATATTTTGTTCAATTCAGGTTTTCATACTCTTAACCTGACCCATTATTTGGTTCGGACAAGAGCAATGTCAAAAGAGCTGATCCTCTATAATCTGAACTGTCTGCCAACTGGTCAAATAATGTGTTCCCAGGGACAACTGATTTAGACAGAATGCACTGTACATTATTGGAATCTTATTTCCATGAAATATAAATACACAATATCATCAACATATTTGGAACAAACTCTCACCACCATCCCTGACTTCGTTTGTAGCATGGAAGAAAGCGAGGTCCAGCAGGCCGGTACTTTTGAGTGGTACATTGCGGGTGTGCTGTCGTATCGGGCTACTCACATCCTTGTTGTTCCCAATCAGAGCCAGTTTCTGGATGTTGGCGTTGGCTCCGTACAGACAGATATCAGCCAGGATGTCTGTGTAGGTGATGGCTACCTCCCAGTGCCAGCCATTCAGACCTGGAGTATTAGACATCTGGACAAAGGAAACAACACTTTGTATAACTTTGATTGGCTTTGTAGAACATTAGTAACTGTCATAACCAGAGCACCAGAGCCCAGCTGTACAGAAAAGTTTTATGGACAATTTCAATTTACTTAGATATCTTCATTTTGAACAAAATTTGTTCAATTCTTACTCTGTAATAAAAAGTTAAAAGTATTTAAATCTAGTTCTATCAAACATAAATTAATGATATGGTTAGACTATATACAAACAACGTACTGGTAAGTTTGTATAGGTGGGTACAGAGCTAGCCTGTGAGTCCCGCCCGCTAGCATCTGATCCCAGCTCCACCCTTAACCCAGTCTGATCACTCTGCTTCGACTGTCTGGTGTGTGGGTCTATCATGTGGTCTGATTCCCGTGAATATTTCTTTTCCTTTTTCTTTCCATTCCCATTACTGTCAGCGAACGACACTTCTCTTTGAGGACCCTTTCCAGGTGAAGTAACTGTGTTCTCCTTTAAGGCAGATTTAAGTTTGTTATCAAATCTCTCGAGGTTTTCTCGGCTCAGTTTAGCATCTCTCTGGTCAGGAGTTTGTTTGTTGGTTAACCTTGAGTCGCGGTCCTCATCGCTTCGCTCATAAATATCGCTAAGGGTTGGTTTAGAACTAAGGTAGCTGTCGTCGATATCACCGTGGTGAGATTCATCTCCGTCACTGGAAACACTGTACACATCTGTGGACAGACAGAAGTATATGAACATATGTTACCTGATCAAATCAGACTGTTTTTGCTTTCTTTTGATATTTATAGGAACAGAAAATGTATTTTATACATATTGGCATAAAAGCTCAGCTACATTTACATGTGTTTTAGTAGTTAAATGTTATGAACATCTAATGCAACAGAAAAAACAGCTTCTACTCAATAATCAGGTTAAACAAAGTGAAATAATTATTCATAATATTGGAAAATAAATGGTAAACAATGCCAGAAATTGGTGCTATTATATATTTAAGAAACACCTAGATGTCAAACTAAGTGCAAGTCTGCAACAAAAGCATACCGCTGTCAAAATATTTTTCTAATTTTCTAAATGTCTAACAGAAATTCAAATCTGGGTACTATAGATATTTATATTATAAAAGAAAAAGAGGAAATTACTCTAAACTCATTCAAATGAACTTCCAGTACTCATGCTACAAGATGTACACGTATTACTATATCACTAATGTGAGTATTGTACAGGTTTCTTTGTTAAGACTACATACAGTTTCACGCCTAAAGTGATTTGTGAATGTTAATCAATTTGCCATGTTAAGATTTTGTTATCAGAATATTATCTTCTATACGATTAGTTTGACATGTGAAGTAACACTCAAATCTGGTGAGTTTAAGCATGATTAAAAACATGAAAGATGATGAATAGTTTTAAAACAATCTGATGCTACTGTATAGAACATGTTACTGTATGTACTTCAGGAACCAACAGTTAGTATCTTTCCCAGTGTATAAATATATATACATTGTATACCAGTAGTTTGTTTGTTTCATATAATGCTGTGTACCTTTGTATGGCTCCCATGCAGCTAAATACAGAAAGGCAGAGAATACATTACTTATACAATCATGTAGCTTAATATACCAGGCACCTCAAGGAAAATACATATATATAAATGTATATAAACATTGCTGATACATATATGTTATGTTCCATGGGAAACAATGTACTTACACTGGTCTGCTGATCTTAAGAAATTCTACTAACCAATTTAGAGAATTATTATACTAGGGGTGTGAAGAAACATGATATAAAACCAGGAAAAAGGTGAAGACATGCAAAACCAGGAAAAAAACACTAATGACATACAAACTATTAGTAAAATGAAAGTACAACAATGGCAGGACTTAACATATTTTGGAGTCATTCATAAGAAAGGTGTTTTAGCAAGCAGTGTATCAGTCTTAATAATTTGGGTGGATACTTCATGATTCCATAAATTACATTTTCAAACATGGAAACACTGGCATTTAATTTAGGAAATCTTGAATAAAGTAACTCCCATTAAATTACAAATAGTGCAGAAACTTTTTGTTAGTATAAAGTGTATAGCTAAAGCATACACATTTTCTAGAACAAAAAACTTCAAAATTTGTTGTTTGATCATTAAGACACCCAATTAATTTCTAAAAAGCATCAGTAACATTTAATATCAAAATAGTCCATATATTAAATAAGTCATATCAGGGTGACAGAAATGTCTGAGTAAACATAAAGTGATTGCCACCATTCTAGTAGATGTCTCTCCAACACAGATAGATACAGTGACAGTGTGTATAACAGTGCAGTGAAGAGGTGTGTTAACACTTATTTGATTAATGTCTGTACCATCCTGGTCATCAGCTGATCAACAAAACATCACACATAGTATTAGTGTCATAGCATCAATCCTTACAAAACGTATCTACAAATGTATTTAAAAAGTGAGGAAATGATGCTGATGTATTCATGAGGGCAATGAGTTTAAAGCAGCTGTAATAAGCGGATGAATTTCATGGAGAAAATTTCACACTGATAAAGCTACAATGTATGATGCAGGATGAATCAGTCTCAAGCATAGACACGTGTTTGATGATGACTGCAGCCATTAATTAATTAGGTTAATACTGTAAATTTGAAACACTGAGCAGAAATAAAATTATTATCTATTGAAATTGGATTAAACACAAAAAGGTCAGACCTTCATGTTATTAGAATCAAAACAGCTTTAAATCAACTAATGATTCTGTGTTCAATCTAATTGTAAACATTTGAACATGTACACTGCCTACATACTGAAGCTTTTACTGCATCATTCTCTCTGAAATGTATTCTAATATAAATGAGAATGACTATTAAGTTACCTGATCCATCTGTCCCGGAGCTGTCCTGAGGCGTACCCCCTCTGATCCTTGGCTTGTTGCCGCGGGCCAGACTGTGTAACGTCTGCATGGCTGCTATGTCTGTCTTTGCTGCCTCAGCCAATATTTTCAGAGCTATCATTGTGTCTATCCTATGAGACAGAATCATATTCAACAGTTCAATATACTGTTTACATGTTAAATAAACTCATTTACACTGTAATCAACTGTACATGCAATTGAATTAAAGAATTTTAAATGACAGTACAGTACCATTGGTATAAAACTACTAGCATACCGGTTAATCACCTAAAAAAGAAGTTGATAAAAAAATATACGAGTGATGTACAGAAATATTCCGGTGAAAAGCGAACAAAGTAGGGATTCAAAATGGACATGTCTAGATCTGGTAATATGAAAAACAATACTGGCAGGTTTGTATACACATAAGCAAAAACATTAGAGTTCTCTGTAGACAGGTCTTACACTATAAGAACGCTTTATATAGGTTTGAAGTGGTAAAAAAGTTTTTGCTATATTAGTGTCAATTGTCGACAGAACCTGTCATATTAGTGTCCATTGTCGACAGAATCTGTTATATTAGTGTCCATTGGCGACAGAACCTGTCATATTAGTGTCCATTGTCGCCAGAACCTGTCATATTAGTGTCCATTGTCGACAGAAGGGATACAAGATGGACATGTCTAGATCTGGTAATATGAAAAACAATACTGGCAGGTTTGTATACACAAAAGCAAAAACAATAGAGTTCTCTGTAGACAGGTCTTACACTATAAGAACGGTTTATATAGGTTTGAAGTGGTAAAAAAGTTTTTGCTATATTAGTGTCAATTGTCGACAGAACCTGTCATATTAGTGTCCATTGTCGCCAGAACCTGTCATATTAGTGTCCATTGTCGACAGACCCTGTCATATTAGTGTCCATTGTCGACAGAGCCTGTCATATTAGTGTCCATTGTCGACAGAACCTGTCATATTAGTGTCCATTGTAGTCAGAACCTGTTATATTAGTGTCCATTGTCGACAGACCCTGTCATATTAGTGTCCATTGTCGACAGACCCTGTCATATTAGTGTCCATTGTCGACAGACCCTGTTATATTAGTGTCCATTGTCGACAGAACCTGTCATATTAGGGTCCATTGTAGACAGAACCTGTTATATTAGTGTCCATTGTCAACAGAACCTGTTATATTAGTGTCCATTGTCGACAGCACCTGTCATATTAGTGTCCATTGTCGACAGAACCTCTTATATTAGTGTCCATTGTCGACAGAACCTGTTATATAAGTGTCCATTGGCCACAGAACCTGTTATATTAGTGTCCATTGTAGACAGACCCTGTCATATTAGTGTCCATTGTCGACAGAACCTGGCATATTAGTGTCCATTGTCGACAGAACCTGTTATATAAGTGTCCATTGGCCACAGAACCTGTTATATTAGTGTCCATTGTAGACAGACCCTGTCATATTAGTGTCCATTGTCGACAGAGCCTGTCATATTAGTGTCCATTGTCGACAGAACCTGGCATATTAGTGTCCATTGTCGACAGAACCTGTCATATTAGAGTCCATTGTAGACAGAAACTGATATATTAGTGTCCATTGTCGACAGAACCTGTTATATTAGTGTCCATTGGCGACAGAACCTGTCATATTAGTGTCTATTGTCGACAGAACCTGTCATATTAGTGTCCATTGGCGACCGAACCTGTCATATTAGTGTCCATTGTAGACAGACCCTGTCATATTAGTGTCCATTGTCGACAGACCCTGTTATATTAGTGTCCATTGTCGACAGAACCTGTATACGAGTGATGTACAGAAATATTCCGGTGAAAAGCGAACAAAGTAGGGATTCAAAATGGACATGTCTAGATCTGGTAATATGAAAAACAATACTGGCAGGCTTGTATACACATAAGCAAAAACATTAGAGTTCTCTGTAGACAGGTCTTACACTATAAGAACGCTTTATATAGGCTTGAAGTGGTAAAAAAGTTTTTGCTATATTAGTGTCAATTGTCGACAGAACCTATCATATTAGTGTCCATTGTCGACAGAACCTGTTATATAAGTGTCCATTGGCGACAGAACCTGTTATATTAGTGTCGATTGGCGACAGAGCCTGTCATATTAGTGTCCATTGTCGACAGAACCTGTCATCTTAGTGTCCATTGTAGACAGAACCTGTTATATTAGCGTCCATTGTCGACAGAACCTGTTATATTAGTGTCCATTGTCGACAGACCCTGTCATATTAGTGTCCATTGTCGACAGAGCCTGTCATATTAGTGTCCATTGTCGACAGAACCTGGCATATTAGTGTCCATTGTCGACAGAACCTGTTATATTGGTGTCCATTGTCAACAGAACCTGTTATATTAGTGTCCATTGTCGGCAGAACCTGTTATATAAGTGTCCATTGTCGACAGAACCTGTCATATTAGTGTCCATTGTCAACAGATCCTGTTATATTAGTGTCCATTGTCGACAGAACCTGTCATATTAGAGTCCATTGTAGACAGAAACTGATATATTAGTGTCCATTGTCGACAGAACCTGTTATATAAGTGTCCATTGGCGACAGAACCTGTTATATTAGTGTCCATTGTAGACAGACCCTGTCATATTAGTGTCCATTGTCGACAGAACCTGGCATATTAGTGTCCATTGTCGACAGAACCTGTTATATAAGTGTCCATTGGCCACAGAACCTGTTATATTAGTGTCCATTGTAGACAGAACCTGTCATATTAGTGTCCATTGTAGACAGAACCTGTCATATTAGTGTCCATTGTCGACAGAACCTGTCATATTAGAGTCCATTGTAGACAGAACCTGTTATATTAGTGTCTATTGTAGACAGAACCTGTTATATTAGTGTCCATTGTAGACAGACCCTGTCATATTAGTGTCCATTGTCGACAGACCCTGTTATATTAGTGTCCATTGTCGACAGAACCTGTGATATTAGTGTCCATTGTAGACAGAACCTGTTATATTAGCGTCCATTGTCGACAGAACCTGTTATATTAGTGTCCATTGTAGACGGTTTTATGCTACATATGCAAAATAGATTTTTGTAGACAGGTTTTATTGTATCAAGGATTTTAGTGTCTATTGTTGACATGTTAAATGTTATATAAGTGTCCTTTGTAGACAGGTTTATGCTACAATTATCGTGTTAACAGCAGACAGGTTTTATGTAACATAAGTGTTCATGTGGGCAGGTTAAATTTTACATTTGTACATGTGTCCACTGTTGACAGGTTTTGTTAATTTTAGTCAGTTGTACACAAGATTTGTTAGATAAGAGTCTACAATAGACAGTTAGTTGGGTTTTTCCCTCTGTACACAGATTTGTTAGATAAGAGTATACAGTAGACAACTAGATGGGTTTTTCCCTCTGTACACAGATTTGTTAGATAAGAGTCTACAATAGACATTTAGTTGGGTTTTTCCCTCTGTACACAGATTTGTTAGATAAGAGTCTACCATAGACAGTTAGTTGGGTTTTTCCCTCTGTACACAGATTTGTTACATAAGAGTCTACATTAGACAGCTAGTTGGGTTTTTCCCTCTGTACACAGATTTGTTAGATAAGAGTCTACAATAGACAGTTAGTTGGGTTTTTCCCTCTGTACACCGATTTGTTACATAAGAGTTTACAGTAGACAGATAGTTGGGTTTTTCCCTCTGTACACAGATTTGTTAGATAAGAGTCTACCATAGACAGTTAGTTGGGTTTTTCCCTCTGTACACCGATTAGTAAGATAAGAGTCTACAATAGACAGTTAGTTGTGTTTTTCCCTCTCTACACAGATTTGTAACATAAAGAGTCTACAATAGACAGTTAGTTGGGTTTTTCCCTCTGTACACCGATTTGTTACATAAGAGTTTACAGTAGACAGATAGTTGGGTTTTTCCCTCTGTACACAGATTTGTTAGATAAGAGTATACAGTAGACAACTAAATGGGTTTTTCCCTGTGTACACAGATTTGTTAGATAAGAGTATACAGTAGACAACTAGATGGGTTTTTCCCTCTGTACACAGATTTGTTACATAAGAGTCTACATTAGAGAGCTAGTTGGGTTTTTCCCTCTGTACACAGATTTGTTAGATAAGAGTATACAGTAGACAACTAAATGGGTTTTTCCCTCTGTACACAGATTTGTTAGATAAGAGTATACAGTAGACAACTAGATGGGTTTTTCCCTCTGTACACAGATTTGTTACATAAGAGTCTACATTAGACAGCTAGTTGGGTTTTTCCCTCTGTACACAGATTAGTAAGATAAGAGTCTACCATAGACAGTTAGTTGGGTTTTTCCCTCTGTACACAGATTTGTTACATAAGAGTCTACATTAGAGAGCTAGTTGGGTTTTTCCCTCTGTACACAGATTTGTTACATAAGAGTCTACATTAGACAGCTAGTTGGGTTTTTCCCTCTGTACACAGATTTGTTAGATAAGAGTCTACCATAGACAGTTAGTTGGGTTTTTCCCTCTGTACACCGATTTGTTACATAAGAGTTTACAGTAGACAGATAGTTGGGTTTTTCCCTCTGTACAAAGATCAGAAAGATACCTGATTTATAATCATGGTTCACAAGTATTTATTAAGCAGGTACGATATATTACTTAAAGTTAACTGTTACTGACCAGTTTTCGTTGGAAAGCCCCATACCACAGTGAGCAAGTGCTCTGAGCGCCTCCCCCAGCCCTCCCCCTAAGTGGTTGGTACAACGCCATACGTCCAGAGCGTGCCACAGGGTGGGGCTGAGGTCGTGGACACTGCTACTGATGGCCCCACTGTGGGCAGAGAAGCTGGTGTTGTCTCTTGTGTCAGCTTTTGTACTCCCATTGCCCACATAGGACTGGTCCCGACTCATAGGCTGTAGACAGTAAGAGGTAAAAATCTAGTCAGATTGCTTTAGCGCTTATTCCAGAAACTAATATATTTTATATCTGAATAATTCCAATAGGCGACATTTAAAATGAACTTCCAAAGATATGTATGTAATAGTTTTTGTTAACACAAAACATAAGATAACAGGATAAAATCTACAATACCCTTATGACATGCTCTTTAAAAATTACTCAGGTCAGTTGACATATTTATTCCATGCCAATCACAGCGGAATTTTAAAGTCCATATTTTTTCACAAGTATCTTTCTAACAACATTAATAAAAAAAATCATGTTGCATTTTTTTCAAAGGAAAGACATTTTTTTCTCATTCAAGACATTTCACATATTAGATACTTTTGAGTCCAGGAAACATCTAAGAAAGCGTACCCGACTTGGTCTACTGAGTGGAGTGCGCGGCTTTGAGAAGAAGTCGCCCTCTTTGATATCTCCTGGTTCCATCTGGGCATCAGCCATGATGATCTTCCCCACAGTAATGATGAATCTCAAGCACAGAAGTGCATTGGGATAGGGGTTGTACGCTTCCTGACACTCTCCTAAACCTGTTACACACAAAGTTAGACAAACAAATAACACATATTGTATATAGATAGCTTATAGTGTTGAGTGAGTAGCCCCTGATACGTCAAAGTATAAGTTTATATTTTCTTTTTATCTTGCTATCTGCCTCATTTAAATATCTTGAATTGTAATAAACAGGTAAACTGTTGTTTCATCGTTTTTGTTGTGTATAAAATACAACTTAAATTCTTCTGTATGCTTTTAATGTGAGGTCCTTTTTATCTACGCTTCAAAAGAACAAGGATCTTCAAAACAAAAACCTGATGTACATTTCTTATATCTAAATATAACAAATATATCTCCCTATGAATCAATGTCTAACAAGGAAGCTATAACAAAACCTGGTTTTCAGATAACATACCATCCAGGTAGGTGAACAGTCGACTCTTGAATTCATTCTGTCCCTGAAGCTGACCAGCCATGTGATGGTAAAACAGCCTGGTGAAGGTCAGCTCACCCATCTATAGGTAGAGGGTTTAATGGTCAAAATATTCGAACAAAGACAAGATCACATGACTTGTATCTCAAAAAGAAGACACAGTTGATTAGATTATGGAAAAGGGCATTTGTTTTTCAAAATAAATCTGTTAGTCAGTGATTCAATTTTAGTAAACTAGGATTTTGCAATCAAATATTTAACTGTCAATCTATATCTTTGGCACATACTACACAAACTAGGTGTTAACACTTTGAATAATTATATATACCAGGTATTGTTCTTAACAAATCATATCAAATAAATAAGATTAACACAAAAAGTAATGATGGAGGAAGGATGTGTAAATGACCTTGAGAAGTTTGATCTCCCCTGTTCTGAGGTAAGGTTGGTGCACAGAGTCTGTCCTCAGCCAGTACAACATTGTCTCAGCCAGGAAGAACAGGGCGGGGATATGGTACTTCTCCAGTGGGGACTGGTCAAGGGAGATAATCAGCACATCCAAACACTCTGTAAGAAAACAATATGTATATGTATTATATCAGGTCATCGAAACAATCATGAACCTGCATAGAAAATTGAAGAGAAAATATATATCATATTTTCAATATTTTTTCTAGCAAGTGATGAACCTGTTGAAAAGGATAAAAAAAAAGGCAGATTGGGACATTTCAGTAGATCACTTTAAAGCTATATATTGATTGACACAAAAATATCATTTTCTTTTATGTTTGCTAAATCACATGGTGCTAAAAAGTTTCCTTTTTTCCCTTTAAGTTTAAAATATATCATCTGAAATCCCTTTTCTTTCTAATTATTTACATGTAATACATGATAAGTGAATACAAATATCCTATAAAAAAAATGCCATATTCAAAATTACTAGTAACTGAATTATTTGAGTACTGATTTATGGAGGAAATGTTTACTCACCATCTTGAATCTTGCCTTTACACTGTGCCAGTTGAGCCAATTCTGTCCATGCCATCGGTAGATTGACATGTGCTCCATTCCCTTTGTCCCGTAGTCCTGCTCTCCTCTGTGGAAACATGGATACACAAAATGTACATTAAAAGCTATCTTAGATGTATAGGAATATGGTACAAATGTACATGTCAGTAAATACAGTGTGATTAAGACACATGAAAAGTTTATAAATTCTCATGACATTGTGTGTTTTATTTCTAATTTAAACACAAGTGAATCCACTGAATTATTGAGTAAAAAATGCAAGAAAGGTTTCATCACAATAAAGTTTCATGTAAAAATGTATGCATCATGCTCTCAGGTTAGAATAACTGACCTTTGACCTCTCTAGCATCTTCTGAACAGTTGTCTCTAACTGTTGCTTTTCTTCGTGTCCTTTAACATCATTGTATTGTTTAATGAAGTCCTCTGTCACTTCCAGTGGATTTCGACTAGTTAGGAAAAAAATGAAAAGCAACAGTTTTAGATTATCTGACTGAACAGGAAAAAAGGAAACCAAAATATTTTTAGTTTAATATCAAGACAAAGCGACGAATACTGCATTAAGCACCTATCATATGCTAGCTTACTAATACATCAGCTGACTTTTAATGTATTAGCATTCTCTCGACCTAGCTTGAATGCTGCTAAAGAAATACTTTATTACATTGTATTGTTCACATCAACTTGATTTACCAACTGAAGCTCAAATATTCTATTATACTGTATTTGCCATAACAAAATGCCAGAACACTTAAAAATGAAGAACATTTACTAAGACAGCAAATATAATTGAAAGTAATACAGTGTGTAGGTTAAGTTGTTTATTATGGAAATGCTTCAGTTAGACAAGTGATTCTTTGTGAGGACAAAGTTCATTAGGTAAATTGTATTCAAATACAATGTACGCTAACCAATTTTGTTTTCAAATTTTAGGGACGACTTATTTTTTTTCTGATTATGCAATGTATCTAATTATAATGTTTGCACTTTGTATAAATCTGTAAAGATATCTTTATTTTCATATAAAAATAACTGTGGGTTGTAATTTCGCTATACAGAATACCTGTGCAAAAGTAATACAATTAAAACCTAATTTTCTTACTATTTATATCATTTTGTAATTCAGTATTCATTATTCAGCTTGTGATTTTATAGAGCACTACATATAATGGACGAACTACTGAATACCATAACATGTTTGCCACAGTTTAACTTTTGCCTTTTTCGCTCACTACATTGTGGGCAAATTAATCATGCCAGCAAGTATATCAGTAAACAGCATAGCATATATATATTCATATAGTAACAACAATAATAACATGTGAAGAGTGAAATTTACACCGGGTGAATATAGGTTTTACTAATGAAAGGCGAATATTCAACTAGGCAAAGCTTTCCCAGTATACAGTATGCTGTATAAAAAGTTCTAGGTAATGTAATCTCAAATGTTTTGTGCAACACTCTTTCTTCAAAGCATCAATGAACAGGAGCAAAGCCTAAATATTGAAATTAAGCTATATAAAACTATCACCAGTTTTTACCTTGTCTGTACAATAAGCTTCTGGCTCTGTACACTCTGGAGATATGTTTGTTTGAGGAGCCTCTCCTGAAGCTCCAGGCGCTGGCTATGGGAGATGATCCCAAACTTGTGGGCGATTGGAATTTTTGAAATTGGCATTGTGATAGATTTCTTTTATCTTCTTTCCTGGAATAGAAAAAAATGTAACTATGTCTTCCCAATTTAAGTTGATGAGCTAAGGGGTAAAAGATCTCCATCATCTAATCATTTTCTATGAAAGCAGATAGTTGTGTTTGACAAAAGAAGATGTTACATTTTAAACAAACATTTGCACTATATTAGATCTTCACCTTCACCCATGCACTAAAATCAGTTGGATAATGCATAAATGTCACATAAAAAGTGTACTTAAGCCCTTTAAGTAAGGCATAGATCTATGAAGGGTTAAAAAGGGCTAGAAAATGCATGTATCATACAGCCCCTTGTGTACAGGAAATTAGTGGGGGAGGATATCTCAAGCCTTGTGTTTAATGACAACTTCTCACCCTGGACAGGTTTACGCACACTTTTACCCATTCGACAAGATATCCTTTTAATGTACCCACTCTTTCTCATATGGAAAGATGTTTCTTTCTCTCCTAATTGACAGGTTTATCCACACTCCCAACCTGAGGGGAAAATCGATCTAATCCTGGGACTAACACAAAGGGATATCCAAGTCGCAAAAATTGTATGTAACGTCAACAAAAGATCATGGAAGATATCACTCATTATGTTCCATGTTACCTGCTTTATTTATCTATTATTTATTTACCTACCTATTTAGCTTAACTTCTGCTTTGCATGGCGCTTTTATATACCAATAACTGGCAGCATAGTTTCTAGCCCTCTCTTCTAATCATCATTATAGGTCAATTTCTTTTACTTACTAGACCTTGTCGTTCTATGTTAATTTACACTATATTAGTGTACATTATGTCAATTTTTACTCTTTTGCTATATTAGCATGTATACATGTTCATTACATTTGAAGTGTTTTAACCCTCCTATTATATAGCAACACCCGTGTGATATGCAAGTGTTTCACCATTAACACTTTACATCATTTTTTAGTATAGAACTTTAAATTTAGTGCCTGTCGTATCTATTTATGTGCTGCTATGTTATTGTATGTTTTACTCGCTGATTATGTGCTAGCTTTCTGTGATAGTGTATAGCTTGATTTGTTGTTTTCTGTTTGCTTTTATCATGTTTGTCTCAAAAATATCGCTACAGCGCTAATGTTTCTCTGTTTGATATATGTGACGTTAAATAAAGTTTCTTGTATCTTGTAATCATTTATCAATAACATACTCCTGCTTGACAGGAAACTATATAGCGAAGATGATAGGAAGTCGATGTTTTCTTTTCCTTTAAAATATATCATATAACATGTAATTTAACAATTTATTTGAAACACGTAGGCATATTCTTGTATTTTACCTCTGAGGCATTTATGGCATGGAAATCATGTGAAGAGTAGCCAATTTCCAAGTGCCAACCTCCATGTTGTTTGTTTCCTTGGATTTATGCGTCTGCGCATGCTTGTGAACCCGGAAGCTAATCCATGATTCCTAAAGTTAGGTCCGAAACACGTGTGGAAATGTCGGCTGTAACCAGACACAGGGTAGGCTTTACAGATCATGTTCGTTCGATTCTGATACCATTTTGCTTGACATCAGGTAGATCAAGTATAGTTTTTACTTTCAAGCAATATGAATGTAAATTAGATCCAATGCAAGTTTGAGTTAGTTTCAACTTGTTCAATAACGTTAGCCAAGGTCACAGAACACACTGATCAGATGTTTTTGTCGTTCAATCTGACCCACAGGCACAGGTGCTCGGGTTCTGGAATATATGTGATATATTATCGCACCCACTAGATATCGCACCCCCTTATACTAATAAATCATAGTATAAGGGGGTGCGATTATGTATCACATATATTAAGTTTACGATGTGAATATTTTTTTCGTGACATTTAGTTAATTATGTACAATATTTCCCTAAAATCTGTGTGCGAGAACTTCTAACCACAGTGTTGCATACTGAAATAAGTTTGACGAGACATTTGCCCCAATATAAATAGAGTAAACGGGCTCTTGTTCACAGTGTCCTCGGGATATCTCAGTAATCCGTCACTTCAGTAAAATGAACAAATATACATGTGCGAGTGTCAGTACAGGTCCAGTACACTCTGCCGATTGAGCTATATAGCTATAAAGACCTATATAGCTATATTCACCTATAAATTATAGCTGTATTGAGCTATATTTTCTGAGATTTCAATTTTCATTAAATTAAAGCAAAGTCGCATAAAACAATAAGGTTTATGGTAATGTTCACTGCAAAAAGCATACGATTAGATGTATATTTTCATTTTTCATAAATGTAAAATTTCCGATTTTTTTACATCATTATTTTTTTTGAAAGAATACTTATATTTCATGTCTTTTGTTATCAACCTAATGATATAATCTTCTTTTAAATGTGACTTTGTTTCATTTTCCTTAAACAAGAAAATCACTTGAAAATAGCTCAAAAGACCTATTTCAGATAGGTCAATAGAGCTATAGGTCTTTACAGCTATATAGCTCAATCGGCAGAGTGTACTGGACCTGCAGTAGGGGTGACACAGTGCTACTAATTGTTAGGACTATATACAGAGTTATGGTCCTTTGTTCACTGATAATGGAGAGGAAAAATGCATGCACGGCCAGACCAGGGTTCGAACCTTGGACCTTCTGAACTTGAATCACTGAATCACTGGTTGACATGGAGTTGATCAATTGTCGATAAACTTCCGCTGGACACGACCTCCTTCCGGTTGCGCTAGCAGGTTAATTTTCAATACTTATAGTTAGCTGTTAACAATATTTATGTACATTAATTTGTTTACAGTTACCTCTGATCATATATGTTCCCCTTGGTATCATAGCGGTTCCTAGACTCATTTAGTAACGCTTAGGTTAGAGTCACACTTTTCTGTATCTACAATACAGTTGTTAAAAAGTACACACACATCGTAAGCGAGTCAGAAACTAGTGATGTCATTGACTGCTCATGAGTCGATATCTCTAAAATTTCTGTGGATGATTTTTCCAATGCTTGTTTAACCTGTCCTTAAAACAGTTAACACTAGGAGCCGAGGTCACATGTTCTGGTAGAGAATTCCATGGTTGAATAACTCCATTGCTGAAATAATTGTTGGTTTGATTCTTTTTACAGCGTTTTTTGAACAGCTTTTTGGAATGTCCCCTTGTTGCTCTGTAGTCGCACATTTTGAACAGCTTTTCCTTATCAAGGCTGTCTATGTCGTTCAAGATTTTGAAAACCTAAATCGTATCTGCCCGTTCTCTTCTGTATTCTAGTGTTGGTAGTCCAAGAATATGGAGTCTTTCTGGGTATGATCTGTCCTGAAGTGATGGTACACGCTTAGTAGCTCGACGTTGAATATTTTCTATAGCCCTTTTGTCTTTGATGTACATTGGTGACCAGATTACAGAGGCGTATTCCAAGTGTGGCCTAATAAGAGATTTGAATAATCTGGTAAAGATGTCATTACTGATATATGTGAAGCTTCTAAAGTTTATTCCGACTATTTGATTTGCCTTGTTAGCTGTTTTCTGGACATGGACTGAAAAGTTCAAATGATAAAGCTAAATCTAATAAAGCTGACATATACCAATAAATGAACTTTTTGAATATTTCAAAAAGCTTAACAATTCAACTGATGATAACATATATATTCCTGAACAAAAAAATAATAGATGCAACATGTCTACTCACGATAAATATCCTGCCATGCCTGAAATTTCTATACATGAAAGGGCGTCTTAAAACTGCTCCAAGGCCTAAATCCATACAAGGCCTCGGGCCCTGATGACATCAAATCCAGAGTACTAAAAGAGCTTGCAACAGAAATAGCCCCGATATTAACACTAATATTTAATCAGTCTCTGGAAACAGGTATAGTGCCTTCAGACTGGAAATCTGCAAATGTATCACCTGCTTATAAAAAGGGTCCAAAATTTCACTCAGAAAACTACAGGCCCATATCTCTGACCTGTATCTGTAGCAAAATTATGGAACACATTATGGTCTCAACTATCATGACCCATGCCGATATCCATAACATATTGTATCCGTTCCAACATGGTTTTCGCAAATCGCGATCATGCGAAACCCAACTTCTTGAATTTGTGGATGACATCTCAAAGAATCTTGATGAGGGACGCCAAACAGATATCCTCATAATGGACTTTGCTAAGGCTTTCGACAAGGTCAGTCATTCTCTCCTAAACCATAAACTAAAACATCATGGTATACGTGGAAATGTCGCAAACTGGATCGAGAGGTTCCTGACCGGTAGAACTCAGACAGTAGTAGTTGAAGGGGAGAAGTCTGATTTTGTAGATGTCCATTCCGGGGTCCCCAAGGGGTCAGTTTTGGGACCCAGTTTATTTCTTTACTTTATAAACGATATCCCTGTGGGTCTAAATGCTACAATCCGTTAATCAGAGACGACACTATTGCATATCTAGTTATCAAGTTAAACAGTGATGCTGAAACACTTCAAAAAGATCTAGACAAACTAGCGCTCTGGGAAAATACATGGAAAATGGTCTTCCACCCAAACAAATGCAATGTGTTGTCGGTGACTAAAAACAAAACTCCAATAGTCCATAATTATACTTTACATGGACACATACTAGAACATCTTAGTCAGGCCAAGTATCTGGGTGTAACACAATCATCTGACCTTAAATGGGATTCACATATAAATACTATCTGCCCAAAAGCAAATTCTACGCTAGGCTTTTTAAGACGAAATCTTAAAATTGGCTCAACATCAGCCAAAGTACAGGCATACAAATCATTAGTTTGACCATCACTTGAGTATGCCTGTACAGTATGGGACCCTCACACCCAAACAAATATTGACAAGTTGGAAATGGTCCAGCGAAGGGCAGCGCGCTATGTGCTCAATAAGCACAGGTACAACCATCGTACCTCCAGTGTGTCAAAAATGTTGGACCACCTTAAGCTGCGTACTCTAGCAGATAGATGTAGAGATGCTCGTCTGACCATGTTTCATGACATTGTAAACCAGAAAGTCGCTATCGTAAAATCAGACAGATTAATCCCTACGGTTAGAAAATCCCGAACAAACCACCAGTTTTCGTATCAAATTCCCCACTCAAAAACCCAGACCAGAAAGGCATCATTCTTCCCTCGAACTATACCCGAGTGGAATAAACTCCCACCTGACATTATTTCGAGCCCAACAACAGAATTATTCAAATCAGCCCTCTACTGTCACCTTTCAAACGCAAATTAGACCATCTTGTATCTTTTAAAAACAATCTCTTTCCATGTTTCACTCCTCGTCTGACATTTTATCTTCAAATTGTTGAAGTTGGTCAGTACCTTTTAGAAGAAGTAATACTTTTTACCAAATACTAGATGAAGATATTTCAGAGGAAGAGGTTAAACATGGGGTAAATAATTTAAAACATAACAAAGCATGTGGAAATGATGACATTTTAAATGAGCATATCAAGAGTACATCAACTTACTTTATGCTGTTATATCCAATGTTATTCAACAGTATTCTAAATACTGGATAAGTCCCATTGACTCCTGGACAGTTGGAATAATTAAGCCTATTTATAAAAATAAAGGAGAAACTTGCGACCCGGACAACTATAGAGCTATAACTCCAGTGTCTTGCTTGGGGAAAGTGTTTAATCATATCATCAATAATAGATTAACTAAATTAGCTGATGAAATTAACCTTATTTCTCCCTCTCAGGTAGGGTTAAGAACAGTTTACTCGATGACTGAAAGGGTTACAACATACCCTGTGTTTCAAAACTATTGTAGAAGTTTGAAGTTCACTATTAATGTACAGAAAACAAAAGTCGTCATCTTTGAAAAAAGAAAACGTAGACAAAAATATGTGTTTAAATTGAATGAAGAAAATATCGAATTCCAAAATTCTTATTCATATCTGGGCATATTATTTAAAAGCAATGGTACATTTAGTAAAGCAAAAACAAAAATAACTGAACAAGCTAAAAAGGCACTATATGCATTGTACAAGAAAATAAGAAATATTACATTGTCTGTTGATTTGCAACTTAAGTTATTTGATTCTCTTGTTTCACCAATCCTATTGTATGCTCGTGAGATATTGGGATTCAAAAACACTATTACCATAGAAAGAATGCATTTGCAATTTTGTAAAAGAATTATGAATGTGAAAAATTCTACTCCGAATTACATGATTTATGGAGAAACCGGGAGATATCCGCTGGAAGTAGAAGTCAAGACAAGAATGATCATGTTCTGGTTTAAGTTGTTAACTGGCAGGAGCAAGTTATCTAGTCTGATATATAAAATGACATATGTTTTACAATTAAATGAACAAATGCATTTTAAATGGAATAATTACATAAAAGATACATTAAACAAGTTAGGTTTTAGCAATTTGTGGATTTTTCAAAATACATGTGCTATGAATAGAAATCATTTCAAAGCAGTAGCTACACAGCGGTTAAAAGATCAATTCATACAGAAATGGTTCCAAGAGATAGAAAGCTCTTCTCGTGGTAAATTTTACTCCATATTTACGACAAACTTTCGGTATGAATCATATCTAAAAAAACTTAATGAAAAAGATAGGAAAACTATTTGTAAATTCTGAACGTCTAATCTAAATTTCCCAATAGAGACTGGACGCTGGAATGGAACTCCAAAATCAGATGGAATATGTCCTTTATGTCAAACAGGTATAGGTGAGGAACCACATTATTTGTTTAAATGCCCAAAATACTTATATATATCATCGATTAGAAAAATATATATCCATGATTATTACACTACAAACCTCAGCAATTTTAAGCTAAAAGGAATGATTTCTATTTGTAATTTAAATGTTTTGCCTAAAATAAGTCGTTTTCTAAGTGCCATAAAATAACTGCAGTGCTATTATTCTGTAGTATTATATATTTACATGTTGTATAAACAATCTGTACTCACTTGCTATGTAATTGAAATGTATTGAAATGTTGACCTCTTGTAACACACCTCGTGTGTGTCATGGGTGTAAAAAATAAAACTTGGTAACGCACAAACATTAAGGGTCCTTGCACCACATTCTTTCATCACACAACTATACTACCGAACAGCCATTTAAGGTTCCGTACACCAAGACCTTTCATAATATTATAATCCATTCAAAGTCTTACACACAATAGATATATACATCCCTGTTACAAACTGTGTTAGGTAAAAGGACGGCTTAGAATGCTGGTCAGGGTTGAAGGTAAGCTTTAATTAGTAATTCCTTGGAGAATCTTCTGAAGTTCTATTTTAAAGGCCCAGGTCTTGACATTTTGCTAGAAGGTATATGGCGATTGGATGGGGTGCTTTAATGTTTCCTCATGTAATATAAATAACCTTGACCTACTTTCGAGGTTACAATATTCTACCACGAACTGGCCCAAACCTTAGGGAATATTCTCAGGTCATTACATGGACCGTATTTACACCTACAGATCTCAACCAGATTGGCTATGAAGCATCGTTGGGACCGGAAGGACGAAGCCTAATTAAGGAAAATTATACCACATTTTCCTAATAAAACTCAATGTGAAAAACTGTACAAGTGTAAATTTCATTGTATGGAAATGATCAAGTTTTTCACATTGAGTTAATTAGTTTGAAGATATCCACATGTAATTTACAGTATATATATGATGTATTATAGATCTGTGATACACAGATATCACAACCATAGCCTACAAGAAAATATCCACACTGTGATCAGTTTAAAAATTTCACAACATGAGCAGTTTACATGTGAGGATTTTCACTTTTGCAGTGCTTTAGATGAGAATATTGTTGTTTTGCCATGATTACTTAAATATCCAGGTGAGTTATAGCTCGCCCTCTATGCCTCTTTTTATACAAAAGTTATTTTTGTGATTTCAGGTTTTGAAGTTATTCAGACAACTACATAAGACAAAGTGTGCTGTTTTCCAAGACGATGATTTTGCATTAGGAGGTATTTATATAATTAGGATTACAATGGTACATAGCACTCAGTCTGTACACATATCAAACAGAAGGCTGATTATATAATTAGGATGGCAATGGTACATAGCACTCAGTCTGTACACATATCAAACAGAAGGCTGATTTATATAATTAGGATTGGTACATAGCACTCAGTCTGTACACATATCAAACAGAAGGCTGATTTATATAATTAGGATTGGTACATAGCACTCAGTCTGTACACATATCAAACAGAAGGCTGATTTATATAATTAGGATTGGTACATAGCACTCAGTCTGTACACATATCAAACAGAAGGCTGATTTATATAATTAGGATTGGTACATAGCACTCAGTCTGTACACATATCAAACAGAAGGCTGATTTATATAATTAGGATTGGTACATAGCACTCAGTCTGTACACATATCAAACAGAAGGCTGATTTATATAATTAGGATTGGTACATAGCACTCAGTCTGTACACATATCAAACAGAAGGCTGATTTATATAATTAGGATTGGTACATAGCACTCAGTCTGTACACATATCAAACAGAAGGCTGATTTATATAATTAGGATTGGTACATAGCACTCAGTCTGTACACATATCAAACAGAAGGCTGATTTATATAATTAGGATTGGTACATAGCACTCAGTCTGTACACATATCAAACAGAAGGCTGATTTATATAATTAGGATTGGTACATAGCACTCAGTCTGTACACATATCAAACAGAAGGCTGATTTATATAATTAGGATTGGTACATAGCACTCAGTCTGTACACATATCAAACAGAAGGCTGATTTATATAATTAGGATTGGTACATAGCACTCAGTCTGTACACATATCAAACAGAAGGCTGATTTATATAATTAGGATTGGTACATAGCACTCAGTCTGTACACATATCAAACAGAAGGCTGATTTATATAATTAGGATTGGTACATAGCACTCAGTCTGTACACATATCAAACAGAAGGCTGATTTATATAATTAGGATTGGTACATAGCACTCAGTCTGTACACATATCAAACAGAAGGCTGATTTATATAATTAGGATTGGTACATAGCACTCAGTCTGTACACATATCAAACAGAAGGCTGATTTATATAATTAGGATTGGTACATAGCACTCAGTCTGTACACATATCAAACAGAAGGCTGATTTATATAATTAGGATTGGTACATAGCACTCAGTCTGTACACATATCAAACAGAAGGCTGATTTATATAATTAGGATTGGTACATAGCACTCAGTCTGTACACATATCAAACAGAAGGCTGATTTATATAATTAGGATTGGTACATAGCACTCAGTCTGTACACATATCAAACAGAAGGCTGATTTATATAATTAGGATTGGTACATAGCACTCAGTCTGTACACATATCAAACAGAAGGCTGATTTATATAATTAGGATTGGTACATAGCACTCAGTCTGTACACATATCAAACAGAAGGCTGATTTATATAATTAGGATTGGTACATAGCACTCAGTCTGTACACATATCAAACAGAAGGCTGATTTATATAATTAGGATTGGTACATAGCACTCAGTCTGTACACATATCAAACAGAAGGCTGATTTATATAATTAGGATTGGTACATAGCACTCAGTCTGTACACATATCAAACAGAAGGCTGATTTATATAATTAGGATTGGTACATAGCACTCAGTCTGTACACATATCAAACAGAAGGCTGATTTATATAATTAGGATTGGTACATAGCACTCAGTCTGTACACATATCAAACAGAAGGCTGATTTATATAATTAGGATTGGTACATAGCACTCAGTCTGTACACATATCAAACAGAAGGCTGATTTATATAATTAGGATTGGTACATAGCACTCAGTCTGTACACATATCAAACAGAAGGCTGATTTATATAATTAGGATTGGTACATAGCACTCAGTCTGCACACATATCAAACAGAAGGCTGATTTATATAATTAGGATTGGTACATAGCACTCAGTCTGCACACATATCAAACAGAAGGCTGATTTATATAATTAGGATGGCAATGGTACATAGCACTCAGTCTGCACACATATCAAACAGAACGGTGATTTAACAGAAAGTGTTCAGGTTTAAAGGCTGGCGTTTAGTTGTTACCTCCCTTTTAACATATTCAAGCTGGATGAGATTTCTTGACAAGGTTTTTCCACTCGTAATTAAAATGTTGGATATATATTATTAAAACCATTGTTAAGGTGTTGTGTCTGCTTCACAAATCTTAACTTGGGATGGGTGCCACATTTTGCTGTATGTTCCAAACTTTCACAACACATGAAACAAGTTTAATAAGTTGACTTTTACACTGATGTTTACATTGGTGTTCTTGTATCATTTTAGGGACAAAGAGAATGGTATGAATTCCTGTGTAATAATCTCATTTAAAGGAGAATAGATTCTTAATCAATGGGCAATAATGGCATAGATTTGAGTTGAAATTGAACTCTCTTTTTTTCCAGAGACACGGAGCAGAATTAATGAAGAATTCAAAAAGGGCAAAGATGAAACAGATCCTGAAAAAATTGAAGAGGTATCCTCATAACATAAAGCATAAAATAAATGTTTCCTGAAGTTATAATACAGACATCACTCTGCTGCTGTTTGGGAGCTGGAACTTAAAAGATAATTGATAGTAGAACTTAATTTTAATGGTAGAGTAAATCCCATGTATATTGTATAAACGTTTTCATTGTGCAGATATTGTTTAAAATTTGAAAGTGTGGTTAAATATAATAAGCCTATGTGCGTTACCATAGTTCTACTATTACACTCACGCTGGTGACATGTTTGTATTTGTTTGATACAGCTGATTAAAACGGCTGAGGATGTTGACATGTTACTGAGAAAGACTGTCATACAAGCCAAACTGGTAGGCGAGAACAGATACAGTAAGTGACATTAGTACTTTTTGATTACTCCCTAAAAACACTACATGTGAATGATAGGGTAGAGATGACTCCCTAAGGGATGAATTGTTACCATTGTCAACTCCATGCTGCGACACATTCATACAACTCTCTGCACAATCAGATCACTGCCTATTTCTGTCTAATGCTCAAAAAAATAATACCAGATTTCATGGAAATTTATGGCAAAGCAGGGTCCAATTGCTATCTACAGTGGTACATTCTGACAAAGTGACTTATGTGATAATGTCTTGCATACTATGGCCATTTGTGTTGCTGTTACGCTTAGGTTGCCAGATTAAGATTGGAAAGGTTTGAAATTAAGAAAAATATGCAAGACATTTCTGTATTTTTACGATATACAGTTATGAAGTGGGTAATAAGCTGTTATAATAAATGGGGGTTTTATTATGTAAAACTGAGAAATTATATGTTATATTAGTTGAGGAAGGATAAGCCTGGATCTTTTACCAAATAGCATATCTAAACACGTTGATTCATTATAGGGCTTAGAAATTCCATTAGCCATATTTCCTGGTATTATTGCCTTGTAGGAATGCTTCAGTTAAACATTGTCATTGTTTTCTTGCAGGACTAAAGATTACAAAAGATACATACCTCGAAGATAATTATCCCTTTGATCCAAATGCAGATCTTCCTGAACCTTTATCAAAAAGAAAAGGAAAGCGTGGCCGAAAGACTTGTGAGGAAATTCACAAAGAGCTTGAGGATCCAAAACTACCATCTTGATTATTGATACTGTGTTTCTGAATTGTTTAAGTTTGTGAAAATCAGTCTGATATTTGGTTCACACTCATACCACTAAAGTTGGAAAGATGTCATCATTTTGAGGCCTGTGATAACGAGAGGTACTGCTGACAGTGACTCCACTAAGATATACTGTGACTACCATCATAATCTATGTGTATTGTGACGAGGTTAAAACAAGAGTACATGTGACTCCACTACAATATACTGTGACTACCGTCGTGATCTATGTGTATTGTGACGAGGTTAAACCCATGTTAAAACGAGAGTACATGTGACTCAACTAAGATATACTGTGACCCCCGTAATCTTTGTGTATTGTGAAGAGGTTAAACCGATGTTAAAACGAGAGTACATGTGACTCCACTAAGATAGACTGTGACCACTGTAATCTTTGTGTATTGTGACGAGGGTAAACCCATGTTAAAACGAGAGTACATGGGACTCCACTAAGATATACTGTGACCACTGTAGTCTTTGTGTATTGTGACGAGGTTAAACCCATGTTAAAACGAGAGTACCGTACATGTGAATTGACTAAGATATGCTGTCATATCCTGGTCTGCAAATGTCTAAGAGGAAAATGCTGAGCAAACAAACATTCATTTTATAGGATGTTTTTGATAAATATATGTTTTGTTTTTTGTTATTTATTGAAAAGCTTAGATGATAAATACATGTATTAAGAATCATAAATTCTCTGCTCTATAGGCAAGAAAGTTTTGAAAAGATCCATATTACATTTTGTTACAGAACAGATTAGGTACTCCTTTAGACCTTTGTTAATTGTGTGTAAATTATTTTGTGAACACTGTATATATCATCTCACCACCATGTCACCAGTTTACCAGAATAAAATCATTGTCTATATTGTTACTTATTTGTTGTTATCTGATCTTTTCACATAAACCAAAGACCGATTGTGACCCAATCTCATGAGGTGTTTCACTGTTGTAAATCTCTCAGGGGCTTAGAGAACTGATAAAAAATGTACATTACCTGTAAGATTTTGATGAAATTTTCTTTTCTTTTAAACGTTTTTTTTTATTATTACCGAATTAACCATATGAATAGTCCTGTCACCTTAAAGTAGGTTTTATTTACTTAGCTGTTACATTTCAAATAAATTCTTTTCAACAACAGCCTTTCATAACTGGAACAAACATTCAAGTGATATGCACGTCAGTGAACGTGGCTTATTATTTTATAAATAATTCAAAATCCAAGTGGACTGCCTTTGATTTGTCCTTATTACTCTAGGAATCTGTTTTCTCTGGCAGTCATTAAAAAGGGGATGAATTCAAATCCCTTTAAAGCTGACTGTACATCCATATCCACATCTATCCTGCTTTATTTGTGATCCATTATTGATAATAATATAAGAAGTGATATATTTGTTTTAACTTGAAAAGGACGCTGTGATGGCTATGTCATTAAGGTCTCCGATCACTAGTCCTCCACCACTGAGCAAAGGGTTCAAGGCCTACGTGGGGCAGTTGTCAGGTACGGCCGTATGTCAGTGTTTTTTTCTCCAGGTACTCCCGTTTTCCTCCACCATCAAAACCTTACAATCCCTAAATTACCATAGCTGTATGTAGTTGTTTAATTCATAACTTCTGGTTTATTAAAGCCTTTGACAAGATGACATTACCACTGTATGTGAATTTTGAAATTGGTTTGAAACATTCAAAAATTTAGTATGTTTAAAGCGTAATGTCTGAAATCTTATATCTCCACCAGTCTTAAGGATCAATGTGAGCTAATGCCATATTGTGTCCCCTGTCAACAATTTCTTCAAACCTCCTCTGTACTGCTAAACAGAATTTTACTAAATTTGTCTGTAAGCAGCCAAAGGTGGTAGTGATGTCTCTAGATCTATGAGATGGATAGCAGCCATCATTGGTTCTTAAGTGGTTGGGGGTTCAAAAAGGTAGAAGAGCTGAGGAGCGGGGCCAGGGTTATTATAACACGGCACCCTTTTACAATAAAATAATTGCTATGCATCAAAAGACAAAACAAGAGGCCCAGAGAGCCTATATCGCTCACCAGGATGTCTAAGCAATCATGGCAAAATATTCTTCAAAGAAGATCCAAGGGGTAGCATATCTGTATTAGATTTTTCTTTTGCCTAGCAATTGTATGTAATGTGGTTATGGGGTGGGGATCTCACTTCTTCCAAGTTGTGACTCAGAAACTAGGTCCCTGGGGTTGTGGCCAGACCCCAGGGTCAATTCTAATATCATGACTGCATTCGTCTCTTTATGCCCAGCATTTGTATGTACAGTTTTGGGGTGGGGAACTCAACCGTTTCAAAGTTATGACCCAGGGTTTCGTCTCCAAGGGTGGGACAGACCTCGGGGCCATCCTGGAAGCATATGTGCATTCGTCTCTTTATACTCAGCAATTGTGTATATGGTTATAGGGTTGGGATCTCAACTGTTTACAAGTTGTGACTCAGAAACTAGGTCCCTAGGGGTGTGGCCAGAACCTAGGGTCAATGCTAATATCACAATTGTGTTTGTCTCTTTATGCCTAGCAGTTTTATATTTAGTTTTGGGATGGGGATCTCAAATGATTCAAAGTTATGGCCAAGGGACTAAGTCTCCAGGGTGGGGCCTGACCCCCAAGGCCATCCTGGAAGCATATGTGCATTTATCTCTTTAACCTCAGTGATTGTATATATGGTTCTCAAAAGTTCCAAGTGATAAACTATTTTTGGCCCTGCCTTTCAGCCCCTCCATTTGTACAATTTTGAATCTCCACCTCCAATGAATGCTTTTAACCAAATATGATGGAAATCAAGTGCATTGTTCTAGAGAAGTTGTTTATAGCAATATAGCCAAATTGACCCCTTTTGGCCCCGCCCCTCAGGGAGTCAGCCCACCATTTGTAAAATTTTGATTTCCCACCACCTAGGAATGCTTCCATTCAAATTTAGCTAAATTTCAATCAGTGGTTAGGAAGAAGAAGTCGTTTGAAGAAATTGTTGACGTACAGAAGGACGACGGACGCCACGATATGGCATAAGCTCACCTTGGTCCTTCGGACCAGGTGAGCTAAAAACAGATATGCTACCAAATTTTGTTTTGGGGTCTTCCACATTCCATATGGTTAGTCCCTAGATCATAACATGTAACTTGTCGAGCTACCAAGCTTATGGCTGAGTATGAAGACAAATACACATACAAGGACCAACAGTCCAGTTCCACGCCTGGAGACTTAGTCCACGAGTCATAACTTTAAAACGATTGTCATCTCTATCCCATAACCATGATAAGCTGGATACAGACATGCTTCTAGAATTAGCCTTGGGGTCTGCCCCCACCCTAAGGGACTTGGTCCCTTGGCCATAACATGATTCAGCTGTATGCACTGTTAAATCATATATACAACACAATACATGTTTTACAATTGTATTGATAGATGATTTGATCTGTTTGTTGGAGAGTTTTTATGATCTATAAGATGGCTGAAAATAATTCAGGTTTATTTAACATTTCTTCAAAACATGTACATTTATATGTTGCATATATTTATATTTTGAGAAACACTTGGTAAAGGAAATTCAACAACAATAAGTATTCTTATTTCTCCTTTATTATAAAAATCAGTTTAAAAAAATTATCATTAATATTTACAGAAAAATACATCAATTTTATTTACATGACTTTGTAATATACAATCACATTTGATGATAGATACTTGATCAATGGAAAATAACTGAATGAAGTACACATTATCAAATGAAATATTGAAATTAATATAACTAAGTCTGCTGATTTAACTATGAACTAATGTCAGAATACTGCTGGACCTGATGCTCTATCCTCACATGAACTGCTAATGAAAATCAATTATCATTTCTCATAAAATTAAATAAAAATGACTGAATTGAGAAAAAACTTGCTTACTAAACAATACAATGTTTCACTCATTTATTTCAAATTGTTTAGTAATCACTAAATTTCTTTCTGGGATCAGAACATATATTTCGAACTGAAATGTTAAACATACAGAGAGCAACCTAAACAAATGGTAGTCATCGTAACGGATTTGTAGATTACTTTTCTACCAGCGTATCAATTTTGAGATTCATTTGGTACAGTTAGCTCTAACTTTTCAGTTGACCATTTTAAGCTGATTAAATCATGTCCTTTAATTATTACTTAACTGACAATCTGCAAATTAATTGTGTTAATTTATGTACAAATGCAATAATGAGTTATGACTTGAAATCTATGATGATTATTTACATGTGATTTTTAAGACAAATGTATTGCAAATATTTTCATTTCTAATGCATCTTTATGACTTGTGCTATATGTCACACAGAATGAATTAAGTGTCTGTCTTTGCCTTCCCTACATAGCACTATGTGAGCATTAGTTTACCACATCATAGGGGATTGTCCCTAACTAGGCTGATGTATCTCAGTACAAAGTTGACATTCTGCTATTTTAAAGGGCTGTCTTCTTGTGATCCTTAATACGGGAAGTTAAAACTGCAAGACTTCAGGTTGCATGCAATATACCTAAATCTAAATGTAGATGTACTATAGAAGATATAGGGTGTTACAATATAAAGCCAAGCCCTTTATTGTCTTGATCTTAATAGTGTGAAGCTATACTTTCTGTTTTTCCATTTATAAAACTGGCACAATCTTAAATACATCCTGTTATCTAGCATTATACAAAATAAGTAGACACAAATTTGGCATGGAAAGTCTCTAATATCCAAAACCAGGTCGTTTGCGTTCTCCAGCGAACCGTAGTTCCATATCCATCTGTTCACCCATCTCTTGTTTTCTGGCAATCAGCACAACAAAAAAGACTCCCTGTAAAAAGAACAAACACAAGTTAAGTTTTTAGATGTGATACTAGCAATTGGCATTATATACAAATTTTATCTCAGTATTTATAGCTGAAGACGTTAATTTTCTTTAATAAACAGTAAAGAGTTACAAGTTCTGTAATATAGAACTTCAAATAACATACTTAGGAGGCATTCACATTATGTGATTCTCCATAGATCTATGTGAAGTTATCTATTTGGCAATTTGGTTCCATAGACCATCTAAGTCGATTTTTAAAGAGCTACATTTCTGTTTGGCTTAGTAGTCCAAATCTGCAGCAGGAGTATTCAAACCAACCTCATGGTTTGCAAATTTTAATGATATCTGTTAATATCATATAATTCAGGATTTTTGTGTCAGACACTTAATTTTATTTAGTGCCGTGCAAAAATTGGCCAGGGTATTTGACTTTCTAATAGCAGATGGTGAGCTATTCCACAACGTGGTCGAAACCCTCTCAAAGCACCGCCTTCCATAGGTCACAGTACAACGAGTTTTGGGACACACAACAATGATTCTGACTCCGACCGCAGTGAACGTGACATTTGATACAAGGTAACAAGCTTCTGTAGGTACTGGGGAGCTGTTCCATTCAGTGCCTTGTTTTTACACTGAAATTTTGTACTGCGACCTGTATCGTACAGGTAACCGGTGCAATGGATAATTTTGAGTATGAGTAACCAGCCGTGCTGCAGTGTTCTGCAAGTCTGTGGTCAATCAAAGATCATCTATATCCCACTGTATCTACACTGTAGGATCTACAATCCTGAATTCACCCCTGGTAACATTTTAAATTCAAAACAGGAATCATATTTTTAATCTATATGAAGTGCACGATTTGAAAATGTAATCAAAACTTTCTGAATGTTTACATAATTGGGTTTTTCACAACCTCTTTATTTACTTACATTTACAAATGTCCTGAACATCCAGAACAGCCATGTCCACACCACGTACTTCAGCCTCTGTTGGGGAAAATAAACACAAATCTTAATACCACGTACTTCAGTCTCTGTTGGGGTAAATAAACACAAATCTTAATACCACGTACTTCAGTCTCTGTTGGGGTAAATAAACACAAATCTTAATACCACGTACTTCAGTCTCTGTTGGGGTAAATAAACACAAATCTTAATACCACGTACTTCAGTCTCTGTTGGGGTAAATAAACACAAATCTTAATACCACGTACTTCAGTCTCTGTTGGGGTAAATAAACACAAATCTTAATACCACGTACTTCAGTCTCTGTTGGGGTAAATAAACACAAATCTTAATACCACGTACTTCAGTCTCTGTTGGGGTAAATAAACACAAATCTTAATACCACGTACTTCAGTCTCTGTTGGGGTAAATAAACACAAATCTTAATACCACGTACTTCAGTCTCTGTTGGGGTAAATAAACACAAATCTTAATACCACGTACTTCAGTCTCTGTTGGGGTAAATAAACACAAATCTTAATACCACGTACTTCAGTCTCTGTTGGGGTAAATAAACACAAATCTTAATACCACGTACTTCAGTCTCTGTTGGGGTAAATAAACACAAATCTTAATACCACGTACTTCAGTCTCTGTTGGGGTAAATAAACACAAATCTTAATACCACGTACTTCAGTCTCTGTTGGGGTAAATAAACACAAATCTTAATACCACGTACTTCAGTCTCTGTTGGGGTAAATAAACACAAATCTTAATACCACGTACTTCAGTCTCTGTTGGGGTAAATAAACACAAATCTTAATACCACGTACTTCAGTCTCTGTTGGGGTAAATAAACACAAATCTTAATACCACGTACTTCAGTCTCTGTTGGGGTAAATAAACACAAATCTTAATACCACGTACTTCAGTCTCTGTTGGGGTAAATAAACACAAATCTTAATACCACGTACTTCAGTCTCTGTTGGGGTAAATAAACACAAATCTTAATACCACGTACTTCAGTCTCTGTTGGGGTAAATAAACACAAATCTTAATACCACGTACTTCAGTCTCTGTTGGGGTAAATAAACACAAATCTTAATACCACGTACTTCAGTCTCTGTTGGGGTAAATAAACACAAATCTTAATACCACGTACTTCAGTCTCTGTTGGGGTAAATAAACACAAATCTTAATACCACGTACTTCAGTCTCTGTTGGGGTAAATAAACACAAATCTTAATACCACGTACTTCAGTCTCTGTTGGGGTAAATAAACACAAATCTTAATACCACGTACTTCAGTCTCTGTTGGGGTAAATAAACACAAATCTTAATACCACGTACTTCAGTCTCTGTTGGGGTAAATAAACACAAATCTTAATACCACGTACTTCAGTCTCTGTTGGGGTAAATAAACACAAATCTTAATACCACGTACTTCAGTCTCTGTTGGGGTAAATAAACACAAATCTTAATACCACGTACTTCAGTCTCTGTTGGGGTAAATAAACACAAATCTTAATACCACGTACTTCAGTCTCTGTTGGGGTAAATAAACACAAATCTTAATACCACGTACTTCAGTCTCTGTTGGGGTAAATAAACACAAATCTTAATACCACGTACTTCAGTCTCTGTTGGGGTAAATAAACACAAATCTTAATACCACGTACTTCAGTCTCTGTTGGGGTAAATAAACACAAATCTTAATACCACGTACTTCAGTCTCTGTTGGGGTAAATAAACACAAATCTTAATACCACGTACTTCAGTCTCTGTTGGGGTAAATAAACACAAATCTTAATACCACGTACTTCAGTCTCTGTTGGGGTAAATAAACACAAATCTTAATACCACGTACTTCAGTCTCTGTTGGGGTAAATAAACACAAATCTTAATACCACGTACTTCAGTCTCTGTTGGGGTAAATAAACACAAATCTTAATACCACGTACTTCAGTCTCTGTTGGGGTAAATAAACACAAATCTTAATACCACGTACTTCAGTCTCTGTTGGGGTAAATAAACACAAATCTTAATACCACGTACTTCAGTCTCTGTTGGGGTAAATAAACACAAATCTTAATACCACGTACTTCAGTCTCTGTTGGGGTAAATAAACACAAATCTTAATACCACGTACTTCAGTCTCTGTTGGGGTAAATAAACACAAATCTTAATACCACGTACTTCAGTCTCTGTTGGGGTAAATAAACACAAATCTTAATACCACGTACTTCAGTCTCTGTTGGGGTAAATAAACACAAATCTTAATACCACGTACTTCAGTCTCTGTTGGGGTAAATAAACACAAATCTTAATACCACGTACTTCAGTCTCTGTTGGGGTAAATAAACACAAATCTTAATACCACGTACTTCAGTCTCTGTTGGGGTAAATAAACACAAATCTTAATACCACGTACTTCAGTCTCTGTTGGGGTAAATAAACACAAATCTTAATACCACGTACTTCAGTCTCTGTTGGGGTAAATAAACACAAATCTTAATACCACGTACTTCAGTCTCTGTTGGGGTAAATAAACACAAATCTTAATACCACGTACTTCAGTCTCTGTTGGGGTAAATAAACACAAATCTTAATACCACGTACTTCAGTCTCTGTTGGGGTAAATAAACACAAATCTTAATACCACGTACTTCAGTCTCTGTTGGGGTAAATAAACACAAATCTTAATACCACGTACTTCAGTCTCTGTTGGGGTAAATAAACACAAATCTTAATACCACGTACTTCAGTCTCTGTTGGGGTAAATAAACACAAATCTTAATACCACGTACTTCAGTCTCTGTTGGGGTAAATAAACACAAATCTTAATACCACGTACTTCAGTCTCTGTTGGGGTAAATAAACACAAATCTTAATACCACGTACTTCAGTCTCTGTTGGGGTAAATAAACACAAATCTTAATACCACGTACTTCAGTCTCTGTTGGGGTAAATAAACACAAATCTTAATACCACGTACTTCAGTCTCTGTTGGGGTAAATAAACACAAATCTTAATACCACGTACTTCAGTCTCTGTTGGGGTAAATAAACACAAATCTTAATACCACGTACTTCAGTCTCTGTTGGGGTAAATAAACACAAATCTTAATACCACGTACTTCAGTCTCTGTTGGGGTAAATAAACACAAATCTTAATACCACGTACTTCAGTCTCTGTTGGGGTAAATAAACACAAATCTTAATACCACGTACTTCAGTCTCTGTTGGGGTAAATAAACACAAATCTTAATACCACGTACTTCAGTCTCTGTTGGGGTAAATAAACACAAATCTTAATACCACGTACTTCAGTCTCTGTTGGGGTAAATAAACACAAATCTTAATACCACGTACTTCAGTCTCTGTTGGGGTAAATAAACACAAATCTTAATACCACGTACTTCAGTCTCTGTTGGGGTAAATAAACACAAATCTTAATACCACGTACTTCAGTCTCTGTTGGGGTAAATAAACACAAATCTTAATACCACGTACTTCAGTCTCTGTTGGGGTAAATAAACACAAATCTTAATACCACGTACTTCAGTCTCTGTTGGGGTAAATAAACACAAATCTTAATACCACGTACTTCAGTCTCTGTTGGGGTAAATAAACACAAATCTTAATACCACGTACTTCAGTCTCTGTTGGGGTAAATAAACACAAATCTTAATACCACGTACTTCAGTCTCTGTTGGGGTAAATAAACACAAATCTTAATACCACGTACTTCAGTCTCTGTTGGGGTAAATAAACACAAATCTTAATACCACGTACTTCAGTCTCTGTTGGGGTAAATAAACACAAATCTTAATACCACGTACTTCAGTCTCTGTTGGGGTAAATAAACACAAATCTTAATACCACGTACTTCAGTCTCTGTTGGGGTAAATAAACACAAATCTTAATACCACGTACTTCAGTCTCTGTTGGGGTAAATAAACACAAATCTTAATACCACGTACTTCAGTCTCTGTTGGGGTAAATAAACACAAATCTTAATACCACGTACTTCAGTCTCTGTTGGGGTAAATAAACACAAATCTTAATACCACGTACTTCAGTCTCTGTTGGGGTAAATAAACACAAATCTTAATACCACGTACTTCAGTCTCTGTTGGGGTAAATAAACACAAATCTTAATACCACGTACTTCAGTCTCTGTTGGGGTAAATAAACACAAATCTTAATACCACGTACTTCAGTCTCTGTTGGGGTAAATAAACACAAATCTTAATACCACGTACTTCAGTCTCTGTTGGGGTAAATAAACACAAATCTTAATACCACGTACTTCAGTCTCTGTTGGGGTAAATAAACACAAATCTTAATACCACGTACTTCAGTCTCTGTTGGGGTAAATAAACACAAATCTTAATACCACGTACTTCAGTCTCTGTTGGGGTAAATAAACACAAATCTTAATACCACGTACTTCAGTCTCTGTTGGGGTAAATAAACACAAATCTTAATACCACGTACTTCAGTCTCTGTTGGGGTAAATAAACACAAATCTTAATACCACGTACTTCAGTCTCTGTTGGGGTAAATAAACACAAATCTTAATACCACGTACTTCAGTCTCTGTTGGGGTAAATAAACACAAATCTTAATACCACGTACTTCAGTCTCTGTTGGGGTAAATAAACACAAATCTTAATACCACGTACTTCAGTCTCTGTTGGGGTAAATAAACACAAATCTTAATACCACGTACTTCAGTCTCTGTTGGGGTAAATAAACACAAATCTTAATACCACGTACTTCAGTCTCTGTTGGGGTAAATAAACACAAATCTTAATACCACGTACTTCAGTCTCTGTTGGGGTAAATAAACACAAATCTTAATACCACGTACTTCAGTCTCTGTTGGGGTAAATAAACACAAATCTTAATACCACGTACTTCAGTCTCTGTTGGGGTAAATAAACACAAATCTTAATACCACGTACTTCAGTCTCTGTTGGGGTAAATAAACACAAATCTTAATACCACGTACTTCAGTCTCTGTTGGGGTAAATAAACACAAATCTTAATACCACGTACTTCAGTCTCTGTTGGGGTAAATAAACACAAATCTTAATACCACGTACTTCAGTCTCTGTTGGGGTAAATAAACACAAATCTTAATACCACGTACTTCAGTCTCTGTTGGGGTAAATAAACACAAATCTTAATACCACGTACTTCAGTCTCTGTTGGGGTAAATAAACACAAATCTTAATACCACGTACTTCAGTCTCTGTTGGGGTAAATAAACACAAATCTTAATACCACGTACTTCAGTCTCTGTTGGGGTAAATAAACACAAATCTTAATACCACGTACTTCAGTCTCTGTTGGGGTAAATAAACACAAATCTTAATACCACGTACTTCAGTCTCTGTTGGGGTAAATAAACACAAATCTTAATACCACGTACTTCAGTCTCTGTTGGGGTAAATAAACACAAATCTTAATACCACGTACTTCAGTCTCTGTTGGGGTAAATAAACACAAATCTTAATACCACGTACTTCAGTCTCTGTTGGGGTAAATAAACACAAATCTTAATACCACGTACTTCAGTCTCTGTTGGGGTAAATAAACACAAATCTTAATACCACGTACTTCAGTCTCTGTTGGGGTAAATAAACACAAATCTTAATACCACGTACTTCAGTCTCTGTTGGGGTAAATAAACACAAATCTTAATACCACGTACTTCAGTCTCTGTTGGGGTAAATAAACACAAATCTTAATACCACGTACTTCAGTCTCTGTTGGGGTAAATAAACACAAATCTTAATACCACGTACTTCAGTCTCTGTTGGGGTAAATAAACACAAATCTTAATCAATTTCATGGTACACACACAGACCAATCATGACAGAATATATCATTAAATACTTAAACCTAGAAAATTAAATACATGTACCTAAATCTAGAGTATTTGGGAATACGATTTGGAAAGAAAATATGATGTTTTCAGGATTCATCTTTTAAATTAATACCCAGGAAAGACCCTTGTCTTTGTTGATAAAATACAGCACATATAAACTAATCTAAACTAACCCAAAAATAAATAAGACAATTAGTAACCCTCTCAACTCTATGTAACTTTAGAAGACTCTACCATGCATTGATTTGGATGAGTCCATTATGTGTAATTAAACATCCATAAGATTGCATTTTTTGTCAATTATGTACATTTATTACATAAAGTAGTTCAATTATGGTGCCTCTTTGTAGAAGTACTATATATCAGGAATTGTTTACCCAATCAAATATTCACCTTCAGCAGTAAAAAATACATATACATTGTAAGTCAGTGTTGATTTTATCATTCACAGTGCAATTCATTCAAGTATTCGTAATGATATTTACTGCTAGGAAAAAATTGCACTCATCACAAAAGATGAAACTGCAGCGTATATAGTAGTAATTTTCTATATCATCATGACAAATGGAATAACTTACGAAGGTGTTCAGTCCGTAGTATGAAAATTCGAAAATTGAGAAGGCGATTTCTACGAACTGGTAGATGAAGAAAATGATGATGTACCGCCGATGAGCACTCATGTACATCACAAAATGCTGTAAAAACAAACAGAGCAAATAAAGTTACCAACTAACAAACTCCTGCCTTATATATACTAGCGGAAAATAGAAACTGTGCATGCCTAAAATGTGTTATAAAAATAAATGTGTATGACTTAGAACAACAAGGTTTTCATGGACCATTTATTTGTTATTTATTAACAGTTGCATTCCATTTTCCACATTATGGAATCAATAAGTTCCGCTCAGTAGTGACGTAAACACAGCAGGGGTTAATACTGAGTTCACAAAATTAATACCTCGTATGTCCACCGTTTGCCTGAATGCAAGCCTGGCAACGTCGACGCATGAAGCCTATCAGACGGCTCAAGAATGCTTGTGGGATGGCATTCCAGATCTGAACCAACGCTGCAGCCAAAGTCACTGGTTGATTAGGTAATGCCCGTAATCTGCGCTCCATTTTATCCAAGACGTGTTCAATGGGCGACAGATCGGGGGATACAGCAGGCCCGGGCAACACGTAAACGTTCTGCTGCGCCAGAAAGTCCATAGCGACACGAGCTTTGTGTGATTGGCGTTGTCCTGCTGTAGCGTAATGTGACGTTGCTGCCCTTGCACAAATGGCACGACGTGGGTCCGGAGGATCTCGTCACGGTAACGTAGCGCGTTCAAATTCCTGTTACCAACCACCAGAGGCGTTCTCCTGTTGGCTGATGCCGCCCGAAATCATAAAGCTGCATCCGCCGAAAGACGTCGTTGTACCACACGCGTCACAGAAACGTTATCCAACACGACGATACACTCTGGAATGGCCGTTACTACTATCAAGGTGGACTCGCGACTCGTCCGTAAACAAAATGCCTGCCCAATCCCGTCGAGTAAATCACAGATGCCTTCTGCACCAGTCCAGACGTGCTACACGATGACGTGGCTGAAGAACTGGGCGGATTGCAGGACGTCGCGGACGGATAGCTCATTCACGCAATCGGTTCCGTACAGTTCTCAGGCTTATTGGTAGCAACATAGGGATTGTCCATGCAGTCAAACTTGCCGTTTAGAAGCGATTTCTCAAATGGACAAGCTGAATATGGTTGATGTGTTGACGTGACGTCACACGTGGACGTCCTGCACGAGGTCAATCGTCGGCGTGGCCAAACTGTTGATGTCGTCTCCACAAATCCCGGATTGTGTTTCGATGGTCATGAAAACGTGTTGAGACAACGGCTTGGCCCGTACCAATAATCCGGAGGCGGTCATTTTCATTGAGCCTCGGCATAGCATTAATCACAAATTAAAATGTTATAATGCTGTTTTTACTGTGCACTGGTCTCAACAGAGTGACCCAACAGTTGAAAAATAAACTTTCATTGTCGAATTGGATGGCTGGATGAAAAAATTTGCAAACTGGTCAACACCTATAGAGAGCAAACTGCACCGGAAAACTGTCAATGACACACGGATAGTGTGTATGTGTCATACTCAGCCATGTGTGTGAATTTACATGTATATACAGTTGGTAATACATGTTCTATAACAATTCTCTGCATGCACAGTTTCTTTTTTCCGCTAGTATAGTTAACTAATCAGATACTGTATTAACAGCAATATACAAACACTCAACTGTTTTAGCATGGTTTATCACTGGGGATATTTTGTACTTACGCAATTTATTTTAGTTCACTATATGCTAAATATATTTTAAATCAATATACACGAAATGAGATTAGTCACTTTGGTAGAATAATAAGTTCTTTTTAAGTTTTGAACACAAACAGTATCTAATTCAGGCCTATTTTGCAAACTTTCGAAAACATCTGTTTCCTTTGATAAGCAAAGCCCAAATGACTTGTGTCTTGATGCTAAACAGCTGACAACTCACTATTAGCTAAAATGTGCAGTCAGTCACGACAGCTGTCAGAATAGTATCGAGACATTTTATATATGAATACTTACCCTTTCTCTAACTTGCAGTAACATGAAGGCACTGAAGAGGATCATAACCACATAATCAAACGTCAGTACCACATCACTGGCCAGGAACGCTATAAACAACAAAAACCAACATCATTTTGTACAAATTTTAAGCATCACTTCACTAGGAAATATCTGTTATGCCTTGCTTTGATGCATAAAACAATACATAATACGTTCTGATAACTTTGACACATATGTGAACTTTTATATATTTTTATGTATGTGCCTGATTAGAAATAGTATGTTTTATAACATAAGTTAAAATTTGATGATTGAATATTAGCCTTGTGATTATGATGTGACATTTTATTGATTAGAAATTAATGTTTTGAGTATAACCATACCATCAGGACGTTACTACGCCGACTACAAGCTAGCCTCCAAGTATATTATAAGCTCAGGATCAGGTGACCATATATAACTGTTGCAATTGTAGCTACTACTACTTTTATATATATATTTCTGTAAAGAATAATTAACAGTTTCAAAGTGATAGAATAATAATCTATTTATACAATTCCTTTCAATTTATCAAATATGGTAATTGCTTAGTAAGTTCAGTCGATGAATTTCCCCAAAATCGTACCCAGGGCCCATGTCGGGTGTATTAACTATATTAAATATAAAAGTCAGTCTCACCTTGCCAGAAATGTGATCTCCATGGTGTCTGGAATCCTTGGCTGATCTCAAAATCTGTTGCTGTGGCAATCAGATCTATTAATCGCATCACAAGGGAAAACACACCTGTTATCTGGAAATATCAAGTATCAAATAATACTTAGTCATTAAGGTTTATATGATACAGGTTGTACAATAATATTTATAATATAATATATAGTTGTGCGTAGCTCATGCATTGTTTATATAAATGTATATAACTTTTGTCTGTTATAGTAGTACATCACAGACACACATATGATGTAAAGATAACTGTATCAGGAAGTTTGAGTATACAAGGGAATAATATATTGTTATCACGTAAAAAAGGTTGCAGAACCCAAGGCCTTTATCCACTGATAATATAATATATACTTGCTACGTACTTCAAAAAGCATTAAACACAAAGTAACATTTAAAATGTATCTAATATCTGATGAAACAGTAGAAAATGCTTATAACTGCATACGTATATTTGAAGGAAGATAGCAATAATAACTGTGTGGCAGATTTTACAATAGGTAATTGAACATATGGGATTAAAGTCGCCTTCCAGCTTCACAGATTTATGCGAAGTGCACATGCAGTTGTTTTGTATAATCCCCTTAATAATACTGGTTATATTCCTTAAAAAAACCCATTAAGATTATGATATTATGCTGCAATCATGATCATTTTATATGTTTAAAACTATTAAACCTGCATGACTATACCATATATTGGAAGCCCCGGCTCACAGAGGCACCCAACTACTATATTGATCTTGTTTTAGGATTTCAGTCGCTGGGTACGTTATATGGGATATAACGTACCATTGACTAAAAGCCTAAAACAAGATCAATATTAATAGTAGTTGCGTGCCCCTGTGCACTGGGAAGTATTGATCAGGATAACACAAATATCTTTATTTAAGGAGGGTTACATATTTAGTACAAGACTTATCTTCCATATGGCCCTCTCAAGCATCATACAAACATGTTAACTGACATTAAAACAGATTATTATGATGGGTTCAAACATACACAGTACATCCTCTGGTTCTGAAGTTCCTGTGAGTTATACCATTTAATGGATTGTACTGGAACATTAGGCAACCTTGACTTTTGTTTACATATATGAATTAAATATTTGATATTAACACCCTGTATCTTAATATATTATTACACTCGGTGTGTTTACAAGTAAGGCGTCACTGACTCACTGGTAAGTTTCAGGAAGTAGCATGCAAATTTTGCACCTGTAGGTACGAATGGTAATCAACAGGTGCACACAGGTAGACCTCACTTCAACTGATCAAGAAACACCAAATATTACTCACGATCACAAAGCCATAGCCCACCAGCACAGACGTACGGAGGTTCCAACACAGGAACCTGTTGATCACCGCCATTTTGGACTTATTGGTTTTGTATTGCTGACCTCGTTTTCAAATGCGAAACACACCTGAGAGGGAGCATTATTTTCATTCATAGAGCGTTCTTTCTTAAATATCTTAAAATAATAAAATTACCAATGATGAGTATTCTTTAACGTTTTATGGAAAATTGAAAATGCTCAGCACACGATAAATATTTTGAACGATATGAAATATGAAATTATTGATGAATGAGTTAAGCTTTTAATGACTTCTCCCTTTGTACCGACTGTGTGTCACCGTACAGGTATTTCAATTCTATGCGATATTATTGATCAGTAATTTTACCCAATTCGTCTATCCTATGCGTACATGAATTTAACTATATACTTACAAGCAATTTAATTGACTAGTAAATAAGATATTAGCAATTATGTTAGCTTCGATTGCGCAAGAGGAGATAACTCGTCTAATTTCAGGTTGCACGACACCATTTTTGCATACATAAAACCACGGAATTATGCTATCCAAGTCCGTGATAAAACGTACATAGTACTAAGTTCTATGTCAAACTTACATTTGCTTCCCCAAATTACTATTTTAGTGGTAATATAGAAGTGATAACATGTTTTTTATAGATTCTAAAAAAAATGTTTGCACAATAAACTTATAATCACTTTACATAAGTCAAAAATAGATAAATGCCAATGAAAAGATAGTTTCTTAACTCCGGCCTCTCTTCTAAATCTGACACAGTAATATACTCGCCAAAATTAAACAATATCTTTTTATTCGTTTTATCATTGAATCCTAAATCAGGATATTTGTTTTTGGGGGATGATCAAATGTTCTTATGTCATATGAAGAAAGTGAAAATATATAAATATATATACTTTCAAAGGGGATAGAACCAGTAACCCCAGACTTCCCAGGCTTCTGCTCTACCAATTCCTTTCAACCAAAGCTAATAAGGAGGCTTTGACACCACATGTATATATATACAATATACATCCTTTACCATAACCTGTACAAGTGTACACACCAGGACTCGTTCGTTTATGTGGAACAACCACTTTGTCTGTTTGTAAATTTAACAATTTCGGGGACAAATCCTGGCGGAATTGCACATGTTTATATATAGGCCTTGCAATGCTTTGTCAAGGCTCGCCTGAAAGCAGCAATAGATAACTATAAGGTCTGACCTTATTTCATAAAGGAACAACTTGGGTTCAAGTAGTTCAATAGCGATAAACGAAATGGTACGTCCTAGTAAAAAAACTATCTTTGAATTAGTTTTTTTTCCAGATTGAAAATAGGAAACATCATTAATTAGAGCATCGATTGAAAGCGGACCTCTAGTTCAGCTGCGATACATGCAACTATCGAGTCTAGTGGAGAGGACCCATAGAGGTCCTGTACTTGAAACTAACAGTAACTCTAAGTAAATAAACTGAAATGGTGTTTTAGATGATGTATTGTGACAAAAATCAGTAAAAAGCCATGCCCCAAAATAGTGAGTAAAAGCCACATTTACCGGTATATGTAGCATGGCTGCTTCAACATGAAGGTAGAGCCAGAGTTATCCAACAGCAACGTCAAGGTCAACCTTCCCAGGTCATGTTGATGTGGGTGGCTGTGACATAATGCCAAACCTTTCTTACAATGTACAGTTGAAACTTTGTCCCATTACACCTCTATTTACCATTTTTAAGTGATCCTATACATATATATATATCATGTTATATGCATGTGATGTCAGACAAATTTCATCCTGTTTGATCATTGATTAACTTACATAAAGTAGACATCTTTTCAATTGCACATACCAAAAAGAGTTTTGATTTCAAATATGTCTTTATTGATAATCAAGAAATTAGATTAGATATCTAAGTCCATGTTGATAATGAAATAACAAATATCAATCAGTTTATCAACACTTTTAAATGTTAATTTTTAACATATTTTGTTTTTCCATCATAACATTTATAGCATCTTCCATTCTAATTTTCAAACAATAAGAAACAATTTCATGCTCTGGACAAATTCACAACAATGCAACTCTTCTCTTGGATTAGTGCTTACTGAATTTACAATTCACACTTCGCTTTGACATCTATTTTATATAACTAACACCTAAAATATTCACTCCCTTTTCTGAGGAATAGTAAATACATGATTGAAGTATCTAATTTACAAGGATGGTGTACCAACATGACATAATACACGACTGAATTCAGAGCAGAACATAGACCAGCAGGCGGCCACAACTACAGCTTGATCTAGGTTGTGACTGCTGAAACCGTCAGAATACACCTCCTCTTTTTATGTAACTCTCTGGTTAATATGCAATGTAATCTGAAAATTGATGTCTGATCACGTATATAAGTTTCAAAAAGTACATGATATTACAGTCATGCTTATATATATCCATTATGCTATACCAGAATTTTAATCGACGTGCACCTTATACACATTTTTAACAAATGTGAAAGCTCAGTTTAAAAACATATTTTTTATATTCAGCTTATAACAGCATTCCTGGGCGAGGTGGTTTAGGAGGGGGTATCTGCATGTGTGTTTTAGAATAAATTCTGGTGGACACATGTACGATAGGTTTCGAACAGTATTCAGATGACAGTATAGCAAATATATTTAGGGGATATATATGTGATAACCATTCAAAGAGTATCTGACGAGAGGTATATGGAATACATGAGACATAGGTGATGTATTCACGCGAGTCATCAAAATAGTATCCGGGGTAAGGTGCATTAAATATAAACACAGCTATGACCTGGGTGATATATATAATTTTCGGGGGTTTGATGGAACAGAATCAGCCGAAAATTGTTTTCCCTTCAGTGTCATACCTTCTGATAGAGGGCGTTGAAGTCAGGTATCGCACGTGCTGGGTGTGAGGTATGTGACTGTCGGGTAGTACACATGGTTTTTGTTTTTCATTGAGAAATGTACACCTTCCTTATAAGAATTTTTCGAATTTCGTAATGAATTGATGGAATGGTTTTAAGTGAATTCATGATGTAGGTACGGAAATGTGATAAATTTGAGCGAGTTTAATGTGTATATCCTGACGGCGATTATGCGCTCCATACAAATACAATAAATAATAGAATTATTATTTTGGTGTTGTTTTGGTTTATGTCAGAGGGTGTGGTATTGGAGGGAAGGTATAGAATGTAGCTAAGGACAGACATAGAAAATGTGTCTATACAAAGGTAAAGAGTATTATAGCCATCAACATTGTATCCAGGGGAAGGTATACACTATATGCAAGTTATATACATAGCTGATTTTATGTCGCGACACATAAACCCTGCATTAGACTGTTTGACAAGTTTTGTTAAAAGGTTGCTACAAACATAGCCCCCTTAGGGTGCCGCTCCCCCCCTTCTTGGTGCCTCCATTGTTTTGAGGTTTCTGATTGGCTGACATCCCACGCTACAATCTGATTGGCTGTAGGCCTCTTTCTTCATATTTAAGAAAATTTTCAACGGCGCCATTTTGTGGCAGCATCTTTTTAGAAATTTATACCAAATTTGCCTTATTGAAAAACCCACCCTTACATGCCACCCTTTTTAATATTGTTTGTTTGTGATTTATATATATGTGTGTTGGTGTGGCGTAATTCTGTCGAATCCCCACCTAAGGATGTAAATTGACAGTAAACATCATTTTCATAGTTTGTGTCATTATGTCATTATAATAAATTGTCATCTTATGATGGCCTTATTCAATTCTATACATGTGTTGAGTTTTATGTGGAGTAGGCATAAATGCAAGTTATATATATAGCTGATTTTATGTCGCGACACATAAACCCTGCATTAGACTGTTTGACAAGTATTGTTAAAAGGTTGCTACAAACATAGCCCCCTTAGGGTGCCGCTCCCCCCCTTCTTGGTGCCTCCATTGTTTTGAGGTTTCTGATTGGCTGACATCCCACGCTACAATCTGATTGGCTGTAGGCCTCTTTCTTCATATTTAAGAAAATTTTCAACGGCGCCATTTTGTGGCAGCATCTTTTTAGAAATTTATACCAAATTTGCCTTATTGAAAAACCCACCCTTACATGCCACCCTTTTTAATATTGT